TGTAGTCTTTCTAGTCAGAGTTGGGACCTGTAGACACTGTCCATAAAATAAAAAGTAAGGTTTTTTGAAACGAGTACATCAAAACGTAATTTTTTAGACATGTACAGGATCTCCAACTTAATATTTTTTACATTTTAACCCACCCAAATATATATAAGGTGGAGAGGTTAAGGCCATTGCTCTTGACATTTCTAAAGCGTTTGATAATGTTTGGCATGCTGGTCTCCTCCATAAGCTTTCTTCTTACGGTGTATCTGGAAACATCTTTAAGATTATTGAATCCTTTCTTTTCAATCGTAGTATAAAAGTTGTCCTTGATGGACAGCACTCTTCTTCTTATTCTGTAACCTCAGGGGTTCCCCAAGCTTCAATCCTTGGGGAACCCCTGCTGCCAGGGCTACATACATATCAGGTCTTTTTATGAATAAAAATTGCTTTAGCGCATTTGCGTTACAGTTTTTGATGTCATAAAGTTATTTATATTTGCTTTTCATGTTTATTGTCATTTACTTATTTAAACTACCAGAATTTACTTAATTAACACAAAACTAGTTTAATTGAATAATTAACTTGAAACAATTTTGAAATGTTATTATGTAATTATGTTATTGAATGTTAACTTGGATTCCAATTTTTAAAATATAAAAATATGTTTATTTTCTCAACATTAGACTCAACCTTAATTTGTCTATAACTAAACTAAGAAAATGATTTTTTAAATTTCTTAAACACATATTAAAAGTAGAGATGTGCCGGGTACTCGGTTTGGACCCAGGGATTTTTTAATTTGGTGATTTTACCAAGTACCCATAATCAGTCATTTTGTTGATGTACCCTGCACTAGGTATCTTTAAAAATATTTTTAACATACATAACCTTTAAGTGCTGTAACTAATAAATAACAAGAATAATAAAATAAGTTTTGTTTTAGTTTAAACTGTGTAGAAATGTTATTAACCAGATAAAAAATAGTGTTCAACCAATAAACTTCTTGATAGTTACAGAA